TCAATTTTAGCATCCTTCAGAAATGCAATGCATGAATGGAAACCAATTCAATTTTATAAGGTACTAGACAACTCATAATACCCCATTGGATCATTGGTACTTTCTTACCTAAATGGAGAAACAGAATGACCCAGGACGGACAAAAAAGCAGCGGAACTGGGAGAACTGCTCACTTCCTCCTGGCCTTCCCAGTGGCCTTTCCTTGTGGGAATCTGGCAGGGTGCATCGGGATTCTCCCCTCCCCAGCATGCAGGTAAATGGCTACTGCTGGGTGGGGGAAGGTTTTAGTACTGTGTTGAATTTTATTTGCTTATTGTAATTTTAGTCATTTATTTAATAGCATTTGTGTCCTGCCCTGCTAGAGACCCCCAAGCAATTAACATGCAAATTAAAATTCATTCAAATAGCAGTAATAGTAATGAAACAACAGTAACAAAACAAAGCTCATACAAGCAGTAATAGTAATGAAACAAACAAGATGTGACAAAAACAAATTTAGAAAAATGCATTTTATTAATTTTATTACTAAAGTTAACAATAGGAAATCCAAGGTATTTATTTTACAAAAACATAAATAACATAATAGTTTGCAATTCTTTCTATGTGATTGTCATCCTGAAGACTGATCCAGGAAATGTATTGACAGCTACATATGAAAACATTTAGGTGCTTCACATTTATTTTAATTCCGTGATTTTAGGACAGTCTATTGTTTGGTTTTAATGTCACTATTATTATGGCTTTGCTGCTCCGAGAACCTGACCATTATGATTGCAAATAATGTCATCTGAAATTTAATAAATTTGAATATTAATACTTGGGGGAGGCTGTCCTAGAGATGGTCTATAGATGGGCAGCCAACAGGGGAACAACTCATCAAATGGGCCTGGGCTTCTGCCTGACCCACCTCCTTGTGCTTCACAGTTTGACCTTCTGACAATAATAAGTCCTAAGCAAAAATCTATTCACACTAATTTATTTATTCAATGTGAAGATGTCAGTCCGAAAATGAAAAAAATTAAATGATAAAATAAATTGTGCCAGATGCAATGCAATTCAACCAAACATTACCAGGGGGGGGGGGGAAACGACGACGACTCACTTCTTATAATAAAGGCCAAACAATTAACTGAGGGTATGAGGTTACCACAGCTAATTCTAAAGTGAAAAATAAACCCACAGTTATTTGAGTACAAAAAAACCCAGCTTTGGTTTAAAGAAGTGCCTCTTTTTTCGTCTCTACAGACAAGGTTCTGCTCAAAGGACATTTGAGCTACTTAATGGCATGGATTTCTTTCTCCAGAAGTACCATACTGTATTATTAATGTTATTTCTCTGCTGTAATCCATTTTAAAAACCATTATTGTGATACTATTGATTATTTGATGGTATCTGTTCAACACTGCGCTGACTGAAACTATGCTCTCCTTGTGTTAGCAAAGCTCTAAGAAAAAAAGCAGTGCACCTGCTGCGGGTCTTGTGTCATGATTAATTTGATAAACCCATCAGTTTTAACTACAGGGGGACATTGTTTATAGCAAAGATAGGCAACATTTAGAGACCACCAGGTTTATTTGGAATTCTTGAAGCAGGTCATAGTTGCCAAGAGGTGGATTTCCTCATTCACAGTCATAAAGGGTGTGGCAAGTAGGGTTGCCAGGTCTGCTTCCAAAAAATAGCGGACAAGCGGGGGGGGGGGGGTTAAGTAGTAAAAAAAGTAGACTGTACAGCTTTAGATTACGCACCATTTCATCATAAAGCCTTTGAATAAAAAAAATGTCCACTATTTTGTGAAAAAAAAATAGTGAACATAATGTGAAAAAAGCGGACTGTCCACTCAAATAGTGGACACCTGGCAACCCTAGTGGCAAGTCACAGAAAGCCACTTTATCAGAAGTCAAGGAAGAGAGTGTTCCCCCTTTCCTAGGGACAATGTTCCAGAAGAAACTGCCTTATTTATGGACAGGTGGCCTTGCTTCCAGGGAGAGTGCCAGACTGTACCCATTCCCTACACTGTGTTTATATCTTAATAAGATCTATAATATATAAAGTAGATGGTAGTAACTGCATCTTTATTTATTAAAATTGTTTATTTATATTATGAAATTATTCGCTGCCCATCTTGCCTCAAGGCAACTCTGCCATGTAGTCGGCTAGATTTGCATGCATTCTCGTCTCGCTTGCGTGGGAGGCCCGATATAAACAGCAAATTCTTCAAGATATCCCTGGGACAGAATCAGCCACATTTCTGAGCTAACAGATGGCAGGGAAAGCACTACCCAGAGGGTCTCCTGAGATTCCTCTTCCCATCCCCTCCTAGCCTGAGGGTAGTGATTCTCGCTTGATGCAGGCCTTAACTAGGTGGCTATCTTGCTCAATCAATTTCTTTCAATGAATCATACACACTGCCATTAGAAAAACCATCTGACCGTTCAAGTGGTCAGAGAGACAACCAAATATTGTGCTGTACAGGCCAAATTTGCACTGCTTTGTTTGTAAGATGCTCATTGGTGCTGACATTGATGCATTGTGACAACTGAGTGGGAAGCAAGTAATGGGCCTGATAGTAGGTGGTAATAAAGTGCTGGAACGGCACTTGACCTTCAAATACAGTGAAAAATGATGCCTTTTCTGTATCTGAAGATGGATTCCATTCTTCCCCAAATACATTTGTCTCAAATCTTTAGCTGAATGACACGGATATTTGGGCTAAAATGAACCCATGAAATGAACTCATTTCAGCTGGGCTAACAATTGCAATACAAACTTTAGTTGTTTGGAAACAAAGACAGAATCCTCTGGAAGTATTTTCTTATTTAATGGCTACAGGAAGCTGCTGGGAGAGGTCATCTGGACCCAAGTATTATCTCATTCTTCAAGATTTAATACAAGAAAGTGGCTGACAGGTTGCCTGCGCAAAATAATAAGCTGAAATAAAGAACAGACCTAAATGAATTCCACAAAATGCTAATACTGATGGTTAGCTGAAAGTTTGGCTTGACTCTCTTGATTTGAATTATTTGAGATGGAAGCTGTGCTATTGCTAATTGCAGATGGGGGCGTTTTTTGATTCAGTGTTATGCCTGGTCTTTCAAGGGGTCAGCAATAGTAAGGTCTCTATTTACACAATAGCCACTCCTAAAAAATCTGATTTAGCAACCAACAGTTACATTTTGGTTACATAACACTGAGGTCATTACAAAACACCGAATATACAACTGAACTTGTAAAGTACCTGAAAAGTTTAGTCCGTAGCAGCTAGGCTAGATGAAAACAATGAAGTTTACTCTAGAATATAAAGATCTGCAATCATTTTCTACATATATGTAGTTCAAAAAGTTGGTTTCAGAATTCAAAGCTAAAAAGGGCTTGCAGCCTGGCTATGTAAGGAACCATCTTGCCTCACAATAAAAGAAAAAACAGTAACTCTGTCTTGCTGCGTTTCAATTTAGTTGGCTTTGTTCCATTTAAGTCAGGACTTCCACAATACTTCCAATTAAGCTTCCAGGGTAATGGAGAGCTATGGCTCAACAGCATACTAATGGCACCTTACCCAAACCCAAAGGAGGATCTCTCCCAGAAGTTTCACACAAAAGTTTAACAGGATAGGGGAGAAAATCAAGCCCTAATGTATCCTACTGGGATGTTTGAGTGCTTTTCCACTCCCAGCACTTGCAGGACCCAGGAAGGACCTGAACTGAGCCCCACAGGTGTCAGAGGACATTCCAGAGAGCACTGTCTCCACACTCCACAGATGAAAGGGAATCTCAAATAACACTGCAAAATGGACATCAGATCCTGCCCAAGAAAAGGCAGGATTACAAAAATTAGGGTTTTTTTATCAGCAAAAAATATCTATATTATGACAGATTACCTTTTCTAAAGAGATGCCAAGTTACTATCAAAATATTTTCATGTAACTTCTGCAGTGACTGGTAATATCCACTTTACTGGCCAGACCCAAGGTAACGTCCATGATTGAGCACTAGAAACAAGTCTTATATTTATACTGTTGTATCTTCATCAGTATATTTTCTCTGCTTATATTCTTCAGCAACAGGAGCAGAAAAAAAAAGAAATATGATAATAATGACATGCATTGATGCACACACATATCTACATCAGTGTAACTTCCCTGCTGATTTTTCCTAATATTCAAATAAATATAAATACCTAAAGCACCAGTCCAATGTTGGGAGTAAACTCCACTAATAGCATAACTCTGTACTGTGAGAGTATCATATAAGAACAGTTATCCATTCGTGCAGTAAAAGAAATCAAACAATTTTTTTTACACACAACACAAAGCTATGTGATTTGTTTAGGTTTGGCTTAGGAATCAATACTTGCAGTTTTTAAATTATGACTTGTTTTTTCTAAATGTATAAATCTACCCATATTCAACAAACTATAACTTAAAAAACATGGCTTTTAAAAATCAACCAACAACTAGATGGGTTAGAGCAGACATGTCAAACACAAGGCCCGGGGGCCGGATGCGGCCCGCGAAGTGGTTTCATGTGGCCCACGAAGCCATCCTGGAAATAGTGAGAGAACGGCCTCGCTGCCTTGGCCCTGGCCCAGGCTGGCCGGGAGCCAATGTACAATTTTGTGGTGGCCATCTATGCTGAAACGCATTCAGGCTTAGCTCCACAAGGCTGTCTGGAAACAGCGAGGAACCAGCCCCTGCTGTGTGTGTGAGGAATGAAGAAATGGACCATGCCTTGGCGCTTGCCCCGGTCCCACCCCCTTCTGCCAGAGACCCTCAGATCTGTCCCACTTCTGCCCAGGCCCCCACAGGCACCCTTGGCGCGAACAATGTAGAGCTGGCCATGCCCACCCAGTAGGCCACACCCACTCCATCCACGCCCACCCAGTAGGTCGCACTCACCCTGGCCACACACACCCCGAGGGCAACCGCAATGCTGATGCAGCCCTCAATGAAATTGAGTTTGACACCCCTGGGTTAGAGTCAAATCCAGCCATTGACAAATACAGGCTTAACCCATTCCCAGTCCAAGCCCACCAATACCCGCATAATCCATTTCTCGGAGAAAATTGTAAACACAAGGGAAGAGACACTTACTAATGTGATCATGTCTCCAGGCATAGCCGAGGGTACACAAGCCCAGCAGCAGCAAAGAAATCCCAGGCAATCCATACTTTTTCACATTGATGTTCCTACTGAAGTATCTATTCCAGGCTATTTAAGAACAATAAGAAGTTTTGTGAGGCACAAGCAAAACCCTTCCTTTATCATTCACAACAAAAGCTACAGTCCAGCCATCTTCCCCTGCTAGTCCCTGGTTGTTATAATAAAGCTTCTACCCATTTCAAAGCAGAGTGTAACTTGCTCTCACCTCTGAATGTTTCTCCAAGTATCCCCTGTGGAGACAGACCCTGATGTTTGATATCCTTTAGATTCTTTTCTGCCAGAGGAACTGGAGACAGAACAGCTACATGTTGATTTTCATTTTATGCAAGCCCTCTTTGCAACTTTCCAAGGCTGACTGTAACACCTATTTTCATTTCTTCTCAGGGACACCAATGTACGGTAGTGTCTCCTGGTAGAATATTTGTGGCTTCCCTCCAAAGCAAACTATCATGTACATGGGAATACATGGATTTATTTTGGGTTCAATTTAATGAGAAAATGGATTGTCAGTGAATACAGACTATGATTCCAGGATTTAACATTCATTCTGAACACTGCATGTGCCTCCCAGTTGGTGAAGGATGCAGACAGCAGTATGTTCGGTTACAAGATAATCTTTAAATTAAAATATCCTACCTTGCATAAAAACAGCAAAAGCAAGCTTGGTGTAAAACTGAGATTAAATTGCACTTCTAAGTAGGTACAATTAAAAGTTTTGTTTCACTATAATTTGTCGTAAGCATGAAATGTTCTGCCTAAAATGCAAATCTGCCTGTTTGGGCTTAAAAACAGTGTTTTGATAGGGCAGCTCTATTTAAAAATTAAAATACTTCCAGTATACCACCATTTTATGCTCAAAAGACTAGTTGAGCAAAAGGATATTTTATGAATAAAAGTGATCTGCACATAATAGAAAGCAGGATGTCTAAACACAAACCATTTTCATGCTGTTCTTTGCAGGGCAACAATAGAGCAGAACATTTTGGCAGGAAAGAGAATGGTCTCTTGTTTTCTTGTAACGTAACTGGTTAAAAAAAACTAAATACAAGCAAATATTTAAGCGTGTAATTAAACCAACATTATCTGATTCTCAGTTTTGTACATTACAATCCACATAGAGTGGCTTCTTCTACAAATCTGCCATCTCTGTAACCAGGAAAAAGAATGACTAGTTGACTATGCTATGTCAAGCTACAATGTGGCTTATGTGGCTTTGGTTTGGCAAGTGCTGATAGCGTAAACAATGATAGTTTAATAAGTCATGGATAAATATGCTTTGGTCTAGCACAGGGGTCTTCAAATTTGGCAACTTTAAGACTTGCAAACTTCAACTCCCAGAATTCCTCAGCCCGCCTGGTCTAGCACAATGCATCAGAGCAGAGTTTGCAATACCTTATAAATATATTCCAGATGTGTAAAATATTATCCTATCTATAGGTTGTTTTAGGATTTATTTTATTATTATTTATTATTTCGGCGTGCCTGTATATTTCAGAAATGAACATTTGATTCTCAGGATTCAATTTTCACGTCTTAATTTTGCACTAAGAGGTGATAAAGGATATTACTCTGAAACACAGCATTACGTATTACCCATAAAAGATCTCAAAACATTTCTAAGGACTTTTTTTTACAGATTCTACAGATATCCAAAGTGAGTATGCTTCTGGGGATACAGGTATTCTGCTATATATAAGGCAAAAAAGTGAAAATAGACACTATACAGTTATATTACACATGCATCTAATTTAACAGCCATTCCATCTCTCAAGGAGGGGGTTGAGAATAACATTTTCAGCCTCTTTAAGCCTCAATTAAAAGGAGTTCTGCAAATCACAGATAGTCATGGTAACTTCAATTTGTAAAAAAACATATCTTGTAGTATATACTCTTGTTATTCTCAGTTCCTTTGAAAAAATATGGTATTTCAAAGAATGTCCTAGTCTGCATTCGCACAATAAATTCAATTTATGCTGACAAACTGAAATTAAACATGCCTCAGAGAACATACTAATTCTATCAAACAGTAATACTATGCACATTAATATTTGTTTCTCTTAGAGCAGGGGTGTCAAACTGCTGGCCCGCGGACCGGATGCGTCATGCCGAAACCGTGCCCACCCCATTGCCAGCAATGGGAAAAAAGTCGCGATATGTCACAACACGTTACGTGACATTGCAAGTTTGACACCCCTGTCTTAGAGCATAAGCCATAGATGAATTAATATCCATTTGAACCAATCTATTGGGCAGCTATATTCCTTTTTTAAATTCTGTATGATTAACAACTTTTACCTTTGTGATTGTCACAAAACAGAATGTGAGCTTCTGATATTTTGGTATCCCATTGTGACTGTCTCTCTAAAAATAAGCCCAGCTTCTGGTAATTGGGATACAGTTCAGTGAACCACTCCAGTCCTAATGAAGATACTTGTATGCTTTGTTCTGGAGAAGTAGTCATTTCTAACTCTTGGGGTGAGGGTTTTCTTAAACACATCACTGATTTTTTACCTTCTTTTGTCTCAGTGGCTCTTGGGCATAAATCAGTATTTTTCTCCACAGCACTTAAGTGGCTAGTAGAAGTTTTATCAACTCCCATTGCTCTGAGAACTTCTGTGAATGTGGGATACACATTAGGCTTAAGATCTGGATCAACGAGGTGTTCCTTAGGATAATCCTCTGCTTTGAGAAATAAAGAATTTGCATCTAACTTACTTTTAAACAAGTGGACTGGACCTCTGGTAACCTTTCCATAGTTGTCCACAACATGGTCCTGTGATGTGCATGCTTTAATTTTGGACATGTCATTTTCTGTGTTTCCATTTTTGACATTTCCTTCAAGTTCTAAAGTGCTCTTCTTGTCCACATTGCCTGTAATAATTTGCTGCCTGTTGATCAGGGCAATGCTTGCTCCTCCTGACACTGATTTCAGAGGCCTTTGTCCTGCCTTACTGTTATCAAAGATACTTTCATTTAACAGGCTATTATGACCAGAGGATTCACATCTGTTTTCTAATGCTGTCACATGATGAGAAGCAGTGATTTGTTCTATTCTGTCACCAAGTTCTTGAGGAACTGGTTGAAGACTCTCAATGAAATTATTAGTTGAAAGGGACACACTCTGCTCTACCGATGACTCTATGTTCTGTTTCTGTTTTACACAGGGTTTCTGGTGTGGCTCTGAAGTGGCTTTTCCACTTTGTATCAGTGATTCTAAATTAAGACTACCGGTAGGTATAATTTCTTCTTTAGGTAAAGGGGTTCTACTGGTTTTTTCGACTGTAGATAATTTCTCTGGCAGGTTTATCTTTAGAAACAGCTTTTTATCTACTGCTGCTGAAAGCTCTTCTGAAGTTTTTTTATTCTCCCTTGTTTGAGGTGACTTTTCACTAGCACTTTTAATTTGCTTTTCTTCAGGCAGACCACTGTTTACAATTGCTCCAATTACTCCAATATTTTTTCTCCTTCCTTTTTTTGTAACCAAGTTAGTTTTACTTTTTTTGCTTTCTTCTTTGGGGGGAGTTTCTAAGCTTTGGATCTGCCCTTTCTTTTTCTCAGGATTTAGCTGCTCAGATGTAACAGAATCACAGGCTTTTCTGAAGAGAGGAAAAGCTTCTCTTGAATCTTCGCTACCTGCCATCTTACAGTGAGGCAGGTGAGACTTGAGACGTTTAAACTGCTTTTTGCAGTAGGGACAGATTTGCATTTGTGGTGAGTTGCCAGTCATTTTTCTGCCTGAAAAAGAAAATGGAACCAGACATTGGAAGAACAGGTAGAGTTAAGAAAAACTTGCATGGATGAAAATTTGGGAAGAGTTTAACACCAGTTGGAACTTGTGCCAAGAATATAGAATGGTTCAATGACAAAAATCATTGCCTAATTTTTTTCAACACATTTGATCTTTTCATTTTTTATTCAGATACTATAGCGCAAAATAGTGCATAAGAATACACTATAGAGATACTACGAAGCATGTGTTCATATTTTAATGCTATATTAAGTGTAAATCATTTCTCCCATCTTCTATTAAAACAGATTTTAAAGAACACAATTCCTACCATCATCTATAGTATTTTTATGTCCTATTGACCTACCACAAATAGGGCACTGTACTACTGCTAGAATTCATATTAATATATTTTACCCTAGAAGCACAAGGATCAATCATTTGGAAGAACCTAAAGAACAGAGTCATGTGGCTGAATTAATAGCGCTGTACAGCTAAATGAGATAAAGCATTGTAGGCTCGTCCAGTAACTGGCAGTTACTGGTACAGTTCCTTTACCATGTGGCTCTTTGAAACTGCTACGTACCAAGAAAGTGATGTGGTTCTTGGTTATATAAAACTGAAGGGATATTTCATAGCATATTGGATTAGAAAAGCTGATTTCAAAAAAGAAAAATAGAGCTCATTTTAAAGAATATAGTTAAAACACTCCATTGTTTAAAAAGACAGTTTTTGTTTAAAAAAGATGGTTTTATCATTACTTTAAAAGCTTGTTTTCAAATTTTGAACTTCTTGTATGATTAAACAAATAAAAGTAATAAAAGGGAGTTCTGAGACTCCCTTAGGCATGAAAGCCATCTTGGAGACTGGGTCTATAATTCTCTCTCAGCCCAACCTACCTCACAAGGTTGTTGTTTTGGGGAAACTAGGAGACTGGACTTTTGTAGTCTTGAATTATATATTTAAAAAGGAGATGATGATGATGATGATGATGATAATAAAAAATAACAATATTAATAATAATGCTTAAATCAGAAATTCCTCAATAGAAACCTATGATCCAGTCTCTGTCTACTGGCAAGAATCAGCGTCACAGATCCCCATCACGATGCTACCTTGAGGCTAAAAAGATGCAGACAGACAACAGAAATATTTCCCAACTAGACAAACTTTTCAAAATAAATTCATTCCTCCGCTTAAAATTTGCCTCAGTTAAACTGTCGCTCCTCTCGCTCATTGCCACCCTAAAAGGCAGCAATTTAAGGGGAGTGGGGGGGGAGGATGGATTTCTTCCAGGTCAGAGCTCTGCCTTGAAGCCAATGGCTTAGTCTTAGCCAGAGGGAATCTGGGGTCATTTACTCGGAAATAAGCTCCGATCCAAGGCAAAATCGTTTAATCCCACATATGCTTACCCAGAAGTTAGGTTCTCTCCTGGGAATAAGAAGCCGCATGCGAAAAAGATTTATTCAGGAGGAAACCGTGCTGAACTCGAATCAGCGACACAACTGTGATCGGCCGGCTTTTGAACAAACCAGCAATTCGAGAATCCAGCATTGAAAAACGACAAACGCGCCTCCGGCGGAATCGAAACCTTTGACCTTAACTCACGAGCGGAGACCGAGGCAAGTTTGAGGAAAGGGCATGCGCCCCCTGCGTCACCCGTCGCCTTACGCACATGCGCTCTAGAGTCACGGCTTCGGGGCCGCAGCGCCAATGCGCAATCAAGGCGAGAGCGTCTCCTGGCCAGAGGCGGTCCCGCCGCGCTGCCCACGCGCTTGCGCAGGAGGCGTGCACACCGGAAGCGGACTCCGCTGGCTTGAGAGAAGAAGGGAAGGGGGGGCGGGGGAAGGTTGATTGAGAGCCGGATCGCGGGGCCTGCTGTCTTTCGCTGCTTGGGATCCGACAGCGGATCGGCCCAGCCCGGCCATGAGTTGCCGGGGGCCGCTGCCCAGTGAACGAGGAGCGAGACAGAGGTGAGCGAGGGAAAAAAAAAAAAAAAAAGGGGATGGCCGCGGGGCGGTTGGTAAGGGGCGGGGGGGGAGAAACGCCGAGGGCGAAGGCGATCAGCTCAGAGCAGGGCCCGAGCGCCGGGCAGGCCTGGCGAGCGGAGGGGCTCCTGTGAAGGCGATTGTGTTGTCATTGCCGTGCATGATGTTGCCTCGAGCCCTCGCGCCAGCTGCGACTCTGGCCGGAAATCTTAGTGCTGTCCTCGGTTGTCGGAGCGACCGTTTCCCCAATCGCCAACCTGCGGGGGCCTCGCCCTCCTTGTAGCCGGGGAGTCGGGGAACTGGGGTACAAACGCGATGGGAAAGGCTGAGGATTAACATGGGCCGGGCTCGTTTTCGACGAGGTTTGGCCCGGCGGGTCAAATAGGCCCCTCGCATTTTCCACTTCTTTTTTTTTGACGTCTTCCTTTGTAAAAATCCGGGGTACTGTGCAATTTTGGTCGTGCTTTGAACGGCTTCTCTCTCTCTCTTTTTTTTTGATGTTTCTATTTTAATTTTCCTTGAAGCAATTTAGGCTGGTATATGCTCTCTATTTTTTTTATTTTTATTTTCTTTGCAGGAACACTAGCAGGTAGATTACATCAAGAAACTGTGCTCGAGCCAAGATCCTTCTGTCAATTTGCTGGCAGAATAGAAATTTGACCCTGATGTTTCTCAGAAGCTAATCGTATCTCTTAACAGCCTTCTCAAGCCATTCTTCAAGGGCTTGCAAAACGGGCCTTGAATTATTACAAAGTTACCCTATTGTAAAACTTTGAATATAGAAAGGCTTTGTAATTTTTCTAAAAGCCATCGAGTGAATTTATGGCTGAGTTGGTGAGATTAAAAAAGGAGATATGGCTCATAGGCTTGCAATGGAATCCTAAGTATACATATTTAGCTGCTGTGCTACTCTGGTGTTATTTATGAGAACATGTACATGTTGGTATAACACATTAAGCCCATCTATGTAATACTTGTACATGCATTTCTGTCAAAGCCTGAAGTCTGTTGCAAATCACAATAAACTGCTTTATTGGTTCATTGTCTGATAGTAAGATTTTGTACATCTTGATAGAAATTATCCTGGTGTCATATTTGGAGAAATCCCAGAAAAAATAGACATTGGGTCTATTCAATATGTAAGAGTTAATGTTCATAATTGGAAAACAAAATAATTTACAAAATTACAATATCTTACTTAGAAAAAAATATTCTCATACAAGAACTATATAAACAAAACAGAGGGATACCCCCAAATTGAAGGACTGAATAAACAGATCAACATATTTTTTTTATATCTCTACCATACCTTTCAAGGCTCTAGTGCAGACATGTCAAACTTGTGACGGTTTTGCCATTGCCGGCAATGGGGTGGGTGCGGCTTCTGGATGACGCGTCTAGCTTGTGGGCCGACAGTTTGACACCCCTGCTCTAGTGTTAACTTTTCAACTTGCGTCAATCTTTTTTAAAATATCTAAAGAATATTTATGAATAATCCTCGTTTTGTGAACCTTGCTGAAATATTGTATGAAATATATCAGTGCTTTTGAGCATTGTCTTTAACAATGGACATCTTAAAGACCATCCATACAGAACTTATGCTCATTTAAAAAGACATGCTTTTTCTCAAAATAATGTGGTTGCTTTGGACTTAAAATAACACTTATACCTGTCTTGAATTGCTGACATTTTTGACAAAATAAATCCTGATGATCTAATAGAAGACCATTAGGTTGAGAAATATACAGGTAGTCCTGAAATTATGACTACAATTGAGCCCAAAGTTTTTGTTGCTAGGCAAAACAGTTAAGTGAGTTTTGCTCCATTTTATGACGTCTCTTGCCACAATTGTTAAGTGAATCACTGCAGTTGTTAGTAACATGGTTGTTAAGCGAATCTGGCTTCCCCATTAACTTTGCTTGTTTGAAGATAGCAAAAGGTGATCACATGACCCCAAGACACTGCAACCATCACAAATATGAGCCAGTTGCCAAGCATCCAAATTTTGTTATTGTGACCACAGAAATGCTGCAAAGGTTGTAAGTGGGAAAAACAGTCATAAGCCACTTTTTTCAATGCTGTAGTAACTTTGAATAATCATTAAACGAATGGTTGTAAGTTGAGAACTACCTGTAACTATTTTTCATTGCCAGACATTTAGAATACATTTCTTTTAAAAATGGTTGCTGCTGAGATGATTCTTTTGAGTCCTCATTGAGATTCCTAAGTATCTAGATGAGGTTTAAACTCTTAATTTTAAAAGATAATCTGTACATGATTTTTAAACTAGCATAGGATAATGAAAGATGCTTTACAGCAGTGTTTCTCAACCTTGACAATTTTAAGGCATGTGGACTTCAACTCCCAGAATTCCACAGCCAGCAATGCTGGCTGTGGAATTCTGGGAGTTGAAGTCCACATGCCTTAAAATTGTCAAGGTTGAGAAACACTGCTTTACAGGATGAATTGCACCTTTTGATATGGCTTTCTTCTGGGCTTAATGGCTGATGTCTTTGTAGCAATGGGCAGATTTAAAAAAATGAATAATTTTAAACTGTGTTAGCTGTGCTTTTATCTTCCACCAGTATACGGAGTTAACTCTACCGCTCTCCAATTTTTGCTACAGAAAGCGGAGACGAAATGGCACAGAGGAGGATGGGCCTGTTCCACAAACTAAACGTGGTAGCCGAAATGCTGTCTTTCAGGATTCTTGGGATACAGAGGTAAGATTGAATATAGTTTTGCTTTGGCAATTAATATATTATGCTATTAGTGGAGAGTGTGAATACTTTCTGTGGCTGAAGTATTTTTTTTTACATGCATTCTATTATGATGTTCCCTTTCTGGATAAGCTCTTCTACACAATCATTTTTTGCTTCTTTTGACAAGTGTACCTTGCAGTTGATCAGGTAGTATCCTTTTCCTATTGCCTTTCTACCAATATTTGCTTTGAATTTTTTCCATTATCCCTTCCTTAGTAAATATTTCATCGGGGTGCACAATTTCACTGTTTCTTTGTCAAACGCATACCAACAAATACCTGGATTTTAAGTACATTAATTTTAAGTTCTGTATTCCTTGTATTCTGTAATCCTTGCATCATATAGCTTATCTAAAATTCACTTCCTTCCCTCATGAGTCCTTTTTTGTGGATCTCATTAGCATAACTGCATATTATTCTTGGGCACTGTAACATATTTCTCCTCCATCTGTTACAAGCTGTTTTCAAATCTTTCCTTATGTCTTTGTCAGTTGGGGGAGTACTTCTCATATTGGATTTGTATTTTCTCTTCACGTATTTGTTCTATTATAACATTCGCTGCTTTGGATTTTTTAAAAATTTCCACTGTTTCTCAAGGTTCGCTGTTGGTTCTGCAGAAAAGGATCTATCCCACATTCAGAACTCTTGTTACCTTTTTCACTAATTTTCTTGTATTCATCACAAGCAAAGCACTCACACTTTTCAACAGACCTTTTTTAAGTGGATACACACCAATATCCATTCTTATGTATTCGTATGCCTGAATGGCCCAACTATTTGTTGTAGTACTTTCTCATCTTATTCACATTACCTAGAAGGTCAGATTTACAGATTTTCTCCCAAATTTACCAATTATTGTGATGTTGCCAACATTCAGAGAAACATAATATGCAAGTGTCACCAAAATATCGTGTTTCCCTGAAAATAAGACCCACCCAGAAAATAAGCTCTAGTTAAGAGTTCACCCACTCCGTCCCACTTGCTTGTGGCCACAACAAGGCAGCAGAGCGCATGTTACACCGGTGCCACCACTTCCACAAAGTTGAGGCGACCGCTTACCTCAGGCCCCCGCAGCCAGGCCACTCCCCCGAGCGACTTCCCCCCGCCCATTCAATGATTGAGCTGCCCGCCCCTTTCCTTTTATTCCCCTCCCAAGCCGGGTTGCCATGCTACGGAGGATGGGCGGTGGAGGCTCGGTTGCCTTACCCGGTCCCCCTCCACCATTTCGGAGCCAAGGGGAGTGACAGTGAAAGCCTCTGCCCCCGCTGCGCAACAGCTGCATCTGCCACTGGAGGGGCTTTCTTTGGTCCTAGCCACCCGTGCTTTGTCCCGCAGATCACCTACCCATCAGCAGCCACCTCCTTCTCCAATTCTCCCACGGCTTGCACCGTAACTGGGTGGCACAAGCCTCCCCTGCCATCTCTTTCCACCTGCCAGACTTGATGTGAAAAGAAAGCCAGTCTTTGTATGTTTGCACTATTCTCTTCCAAAAAGGATCTCTAGAGATTAACTTGGAAACTCACGCACGATTACTAATATCCTGCCAACTAGGAGTAAAATGCAGTATAGTGACCCACTTAGGACCAAGCATATTCTTTGGTTTGTTAGTTTTTACATTAAAATAAATTCTCCTTTTGCATTTCGTGTTGATTCGTAGGCTTTTCTTTCAAATATTTTTGAATATAGGCATTTGTTTTCTTGCTCTACACAAGGCAGCTTTCAAAACGATTTTCACCAGAACTTCATTGTATGTTCATATTCTGGTCTAGTGTCTTGAACAGCAGCAAAATGG